CTGGGCGCAGCCCCTTAAATAATGAGTTCTATAGGGTTTACTCCTCCCCTCCACATGCGCGGGGTTAGGATTCGGGGTTTCAGGGTTTCAGGGGTTAGGGTTTAGGGTTTGGGGGTAATAGGGTTTAAGGTTTAGGTTTTGGGGTATTAAGGGTTTAGAGGTATAGGGTTTAGGGTATTTTGTGGGGGGGAGGGGGTAGGACTTAGGGCTTTAGAGTTTCAGGGTTTAGGGTTCAGGGTGGTTAGGATTCAAGGTTTCTTTGTTTAGGGATTTGGGGCTTCAGGGTTTCAGGGCTTTAGGGCGGCTAGGATTCAGGGATTCAGGGCTTCAGGTTTTCAGGGTTTAGGGTTTAGGGTGGTTAGGATTCAGGGTTCAGGGTTTAGGATGACTAGGATTCAGGGCTTAGGTTGGCTAATTAGTGCGGAATGAAGGAAAATGAGTTTGGGTTGGTGGTTCAGAGGTTTAGGATCTAGGGGCCAAATTGACTGGAAATAAGGTTTTTTTGTGTATTCCGTGATATAATGGGACAAAGAACATGAAGGAACCTCTTCCTAACTAGCATGACCTTTGCCATGCCAGCACGCTACAATCTCTTGTCAGCTATACTGCAATTCTGGTCGATAGCATTGTCCATTTGAAATGGAAAATAGAAACCCTATGTTACATGGTAGCTTCCACTTCTAGTCCCAAGGCAAGTGCAGAATGAAATTCGCCTTCTACTTTCTGATACTGCGAGTTCCATATAATGAAGATACTTCTGCTTCTATTACTTCTCTTAACCACCACAGGTAATGATTCTCTGTGACAATACAACTATCCCCACGTATACTCGTCCAACACAACCTCCTTTTCCCAATATGTCTCAAACTACAAGAGCTAGAGTCTAAACTCCTAGTATCCCCCTTAATCACCCCTACAGTAATCCCGTATATAATCCCCTTTAAGGAGTTTAGACTAGAGCTCACACGAGCTTCGACCTGGAATACGCCAGATGAGGTGGAGGAAATTCAAGCTTCAGGATGCGCAAGGCATGCGCCACCATTACATAAGCCCTATACCCTAAACCCTATACCCTAAAACCCCTAAACCCTAAACCCTATACCTAAAACCCCTAAACCCTAAACCCTAAACCCTGCCTCTTCGAGCCGACTCGCTTGGCATCTCCTCCTTGGGAAGAGGAGCCTGGCAGTTCCGGTTTTTTTCGAGAAGTCGGCATTTGCTATACGTACATCAAGATACGATAATCTGGGCACCATAGCTTATGGGCGCCCTAAACTTAAACACCCCTAACATGTTCAGCTGGATCAATCCAGGATGACAAAATTCGGCCTCGAGTACTTCGCCTGGAGCCAGCAGCACTTCGCTTGGGGCCAGTGCCTCAGGCACAGCCGTCGCCGTCTCGACGGTGGAAGCCTGAAAAACTGAGGATCATAGTATAGAGGGATTGTATAGGGATGATGGAAAAGAAAATGGAAACTACTATATCATATAACAGGGAACTTATTTGGGTTTTGTGATGACCATTCGTTCTCATTTTCTTGTTACCATTCCTTGTACAGATGTGATTCATACCCCTAGTACTACTGGACTTGCTACTGCTACGAAGAGTAGCATCAATTTCAATATTACCCAGCACTCAGCAGTGGCGGCAGTCTCGAGGAGCCGGCCGCCGTGTCAGCATCGTCCTGGCCCTTCAACGCCACCTGAGCAGCGATTTTTGGTGGTTGAACCAAGTAAGATGATATTCTGTATAGAAAAACTATACCCACAAGGAGGATATCATCTTACTCTCTATTGAGAACCATAGTATACCCATATAAATTTCTACTCACCCACTCTGGCTCAGCGCAGCTAAAAACATGCCGGTAGCCTTCGTGATGCTACAAGAAGTGCAAGGCTATCTATCCCTAATCCCTAAACCCTAATCCCTAAACCCTAAACCCCAATCCCTAAACCCTAATCCCTAAACCCTAAACCCTAAACCCTAAACCCTAAACCCTACCCCAGTCAGACTATGCGACGCTTCCGCTGGAGGCTCGCCCACTCGCCCGCCTTGGCCTTCTCGCCCTCCCGCCACTCGTCGAAGCCCATCCAAGACACCACGCCATGGACCTCCGACACAAGCATAGGATGTAAGGGTTTAGGCTTCAGGGTTTACTGACTCGGCTTTAGGCTTTAGAGATAAGGGTCGGGAGATTAAGATTTCAAATAGGGTTTGCAGAGTTTAGGGCTGGGGGATTAGGCCTTGTGACCTCCTATAAGAATCCCTGAAAAGCCATGACGCAACATCTGGCAATCTTTGGTGGCCACGCATGGTCGTAACCCTACTGAATAGCAAGTAGCAGGACGGTGCTTGATGAAGAACATACTATCAAGATCAATCCTGTACGCTTCTAAGAAGAGGTATCTCCTAAACTAGCCCAAGGGCCCAAAAGACAAAAATAAGCTACACATAGCTACACCCTACAGTCCCCCTTAAGTAGATAGAATATGGCTTCGGGTATATTGCAATAAGATCCCCATATACCCCAGATTCCGTCTACTTAATGGGGATGATGACCCTACACCCTAAATAGTAGTTTCCATTTTCTTTTCCATTATCCCTATATACCCCATATTTTTTCTACTTAAGGGGGACTATAACTTTTTCAACGCAAACAAGAGAAAGCCTTCGATGAACCCTAAACCCTAAACCCTAAACCCTTACCTTGTTCAACACTAACAACAGAAATCCTTCCAAGAAGGGGGCAACGGCGCCTTGCCCGCAAGCTCCGCGGCCTTGCGCACCGCAGCGCCGCCCGAGGCCCTGGGAGGAAAGGGGGCGGGAATCAGGGTTTATGGAGGTTAGGGTTTAGGGTTGAGGGTTTAGGGTTAGGGTTAGTGTTTAGGGTTTAGGGTTTAGGGGGCAGGTATCAGGGGCTTCGGGGTTAAGAGTGCAGAGGTCGTAGGTGGAGGGTTTGGCAAAGCCAGTACTGAAGCATTGCGTATTAATCTTTGTGATACTCTTGGTTACAATCTCACGTCCACACGTGAAGGACTGACTGTATAATTGTTTGTGGTAGAGAACAACCACATATTTGTCAAAGCAAGATGGACAACGGCGCAATATGGTACTGAGAGATTGCTCCATCAAATCCTGACAGAAGCGCCCTCGGACACTGCCCCCCTGCCACCCCCCTCACCACCAGCCAGTCTCCGGGCCTCATGACTACGAGGATGTGCTGGGTGTCAATCCACTTGCACAGGTAGCCAGCATTGGTGATCAGCCTGCATGCGCTCCAACGTTTCGCTTCCCTGCAGTCCCTTGCATGCCTTTTGCCGTAGGCCTGGGGGCGTCATTCCCATCCACGGTGTCCAGCGCAGCAACCAGGAGCGTAACTGAGCAACAAGGCATACAAAAAAAGTCCCACAGTGAAAGCATAGAAGAGCGTCGTGGTCGGTTGTATTGGTAATGCGAAATATGATCGTTTCTGGAAGCAGCATTGCGAGATGTGGACCGTTCCGAGGTATAGTCCCCCTTAAGTAGATAGAATATGGGGTATATGGGGATCTTATTATAAGATCCCCAAAGCCATATTCTATCTACTTAAGGGGGACAGTTATAGGATCCTACTTTTCGGACAGCTCCCTGGCACAGGCCCTGGTCGCCGAGGCCAGCGCCTCGGCTGAGGTCAAACATGCAGACTCCAACCTGCAAAGCCCACGGCAGGGTGGTTTTGGAGTGGAGGTTTCTTGTAGGTGTAAATGGGGTCGAGGCTTCAAGCATACTTCTACAAAACCAATATAGAATCCTTCCATAGGACCTGTATCAGCCTCTCATAATCGCTTTGTATCCTTTGAGGCCCAAACCCTAAACCCTAAACCCTAAATCCAAAACCCCACACCCTAAACCCTAAACCCTAAGCCCTAAACCCTACACCCACCCTTTCCTGAGAAACCCCCTAAGGGTGGGGAAGGGTGTCAGGAAGCGCCTCTCCCTCCAAGGCTGCTCTGTCCAAGTCCAGATACTCGATGCCTCGGGTTTTGGGTTTAGGGTTTAGGGTTTGGGAGTTCAGGCTTATGGCTCAGTGGGTTAGGCCGCTTCAGTTAGCTTGCTAAATGCAGTAGATAGCTGTTCCTCCAAAAAAGGGGGTGGGAAGATGGCTATGAATCATACACGGGGGGGTCGCAACCCAAAAAAACAAGGGCCCAGGATGTTGAACGCTCTAGTGCTCAGGAACCACAGTTGTGCTGAAAGAGCACCCATGATGTGGCTTAAACAGCCGCCAAACCCTAAAATGCAAATTAAAGTTTCCAGCTTCTTCTCCATTATCTTCTCTTTCTACCCCTATATTAACACCCTTAGATTTGCCAAGATGCTCTTGTAGAGGAAGAGCCGGTTCGCACCCTGACACAATCACAGAAATGATGCGCGCACATTTAGGGCTTAAGGGTTTAAGGATCTAAGGTTTATTGTTTGTGTAGAGTAGTCCCTTCTCAATGATAGTAAGGTTCCGGCGACAATATATGTGTATATACTTGTATATAGACTATACGCGGGATTTGGGGATTGAAGCTTGGAGGGTGTAGGGCCCTGAAGGCAAGACCTCTAATGCAACAGGAGAAGCATTGCTCATGTTTCAAAACCTTGGGAATACTTCGCAAAAAGCCGCTACGGAGGGATCACCTTGCCTGACCCCCAAAAGGCCAAGACAAACACATGGCGACATAAAGCAAGAAAATCGTCTTTGATCATGATCTCCGTACGCCCTGAAAACAACTGCTGCAATGTTCCAAACCTTCAGCCCAAACCCCGAACCCTATATGTCAAAATCTAAACCCCTAAAACTGTAAGCTTCAAACCTGAGCCCTACCCTGAGATGCTGAACCTTATGCCTTGTATCCGAAACTTACACCCTATCAGCTAAACTCCGTCTATCCACCCAACCCTACCTAAGCCCATCTAAACCCTGAAAATCTGCACCTGATATGGTAGTTTCCCTTAATAGGAGGACCCCAACATAGACCCCCAAATACTATATATCTTATCCTGGGGACCCCCAAAAGGTACCCCTAATTTTGGGAAACCCCTTTGACATATAAGTATAGACATATATATATATACATATGTATACATACATACATATATTAGAATATAGTTTGGTATATTTCAGCATATTATGGTATATTGTGGTAGAAAAAACCTCCAAAAAAACCCGAAATACCCTAATATTCAACCCCCCCTTCCCCAAAGCACCGGCCCTGCCTCACGGACCTGCGTGGGGGAGATCGCCCGCAAATACGCAAAAAGCTGCGCGGTGACCAGAGAGTCAAAGCCCGCCTGGTTTCCAGGGTTTAGGGTTTCTAGGGTTTGTAGAGTTTAGGGTTTAGGGTTTGTAGGGTTTTGGGTTTCTAGGGTTTAGGGTTTAGGGTTTCTAGGGTTTAGGATTTCTAGGGTTTAGGGTTTCTAGGGTTTAGACCTTGACTACCAATTTGCCAGGCTTGTAGCAAGGCGTGGGGCCTAGGGTGAAGGAAGGTCTTGGGTTTGTTGTGCTAGGATGTAGGGCTTAGGGTTTAGGGGTAACATGGCATCTAAGGTTTTGGGTTCAGGGGTTGCGGCGCTTTTGCTTCAGCAGCTCGCTTCTGTACAACAAGTCCAGCTGTGGGCGTTCTGCAGAGAACCTGTCCTTGTTATGGTCTCAGGACGGTGTCCGCTACGGCTGAAGCCCTGAGAACTAAACCCACAAAAATCCCAAAAACCTTACATCTGAACACCAAAAACCCTAAACCCCAAACCCCACAAACCCTAAATTTAGACCCGAACAAACTCTAAACCCTAAACACCCAAAGACCCTCAACCCAAAACCCTGGGTTGGGTTGCATCTGCCCACCTGGCCTCATGCGCTAGCTCATTCCGGTCTGCCTGGGATCCATAGCGACCTGCGTGGCAAATGCAGCTCAGCAATGGGCTTGTCATAGGCTTCAGGGCATACCTTTTGGGGATATTTGGGTTTAGGGGGGATTGTGTAGGGTTTGGGATATGTACCAGGGTTATCGGGTTTTGCACACAGGCTTGGTAGATGCGCACGGGAAGGCGTGCGCAAAGTTGATGCTTGAAACCGCTGAATCCTTAGATCCTCAACCCTGCACATTCCTCCAAATACGTTGATTCTGCATGACCCTCTGCTGCTTGGTGCTTAGAATATGAAGCAATAAGACGAAGGTACTGCAACAATGCATCTGATGGACGACTACAAGGATCAATCCTTCCATTCCCAATTATGTAAGCCCTATACCCTAAATACCCTACACCGCAAACCCTCAACCCTAAACCTTACACCCCAAACCCCCCAAACCCTAAACCCCCTACACCCTACACCCTCTAAACCCCTAAACATCTCAGACACGCTATATACACCTGTATAATCCCTATACCCCTAAACCCTAAACCCTAAACCCTAAACCCTAAGCCTAAGCCCTAAACCTAAGCCGCTTCTGAGTCTCCTACTCGCTGTCTCCCCCACCAGGCGGAACTTCAAATGCGGCACGTTCCCATGGCCCGCCAGCTCCTGGTGCTTCACCTGGCGCACGGAAGATCCAAAATACAACGAATAATGATTTTGGGGTTTAGGGTGTAGGATTAATAGGATTTAGGGTTTAGAGCTCAGGGTTTATAGGGTTTAGGGTTTAGGGTTTAGGGTTTAGGCTTCACCTGGCGCACTGGAGATCCTAAATAAGACGAGGAAAATATCAATAATGGTGATATAATAAGAATAATAAGTATACTGGCAAGATTCGTAATAGACAAGGAATAACAAGTATAAGTATGGGTATTCGTATATTGTTTGGCTATAATTACTCTTACTTGTCTTCTTAACATGGTTCTGACTATTGATATTTAATGCTTGGGCTATCACTGTGCGTATTGTTGTTATTGCTGTTGTTACTCCTCTTCATATTTGTTTGAAGTGCTTGGAGTTGAGGGCTTGGGGCTTTTGATCATCACCATCACCATCAAAGCAGGAGCTATGACATGCAGTAGTCATTGATCGACAGTGTAGGCATGATGATCCATCATTCTCACAGAGGTAGAAGCCGCAACGCCAACAAACGTGAGAATTACGATTCATAGCGAAAGCACCACAAGCACACTGCAACCACCGCCACCGCACGAGGACTACAACGACGACGAGGATGATGACGACGCCGACGCTGACGCCAACACCCGCCACCACTACGCCACAGCAACCGCCACCGCCGCCGCCACCACCTGGGACCCCAGCCCTACCCTGCCAGAATACTCCGACAGCACACCCAGCCTTCGCGTCCTCCGCAAACTTTGTGAGGCCAAGACGTTTGAAGCCGCCAAGGGCACCATGCAAGTGCGCCGTGTCAACCACCTCAGGCCAAGCGAATTTCGAGATTTTAGGTTTGGGGTCGCAGCAACACGGCCAGGCTAAAATATACATCCATGTCCAAGTCTGGCATTGCTGGCACTGCTACATGCTTAGTGAACACGAAGGATACCCGTACTTTAACTATCATCATCCGTCGATATCCTGGTTTGCGCCTATCATATTTTGCCCCTTTGAAACACTGCCTGACCTTTACCCTACGCCCGAAACTCCAAACCGTAAACCCCACTCTGTCCACTCTCAGGGCCCCTCCTTTGGCGTGCAGTGTCGGATGATTTGCGCCATGGCCCGCGGGTCGTTGCGCGGGAGCGGCCGGCGCCTCAGCGTTGCAGGAGATCTTGAGAAACAAAACGAAACTAGCGGGAACCCTCAAATTGGTGGGGCCCTTCTTTCTGTTTCGGGGTCCCTTGCAATTTGGGAGCCCTTCCCTTTCCTTCCAGAAACTTTTAAGAATGCTTTACGCCAAGCTGCTCGAAGGCAGCTAAGAGGAAGAAGAGGTCCAGCGGGCAGTGCACAACCTCAGAAGCAGATGCGTGGAACTTGTAGGATTTGGGGCTTCGGGCTCATGGCTGGGGCCAACATTGAACACTTTGATTTGGATACTAGATGCGTATAGACACGTTCATCATATATTTCTATTGGCGATCTGCAGAATCAAGACTCCTGGGAGAGGGGAAGGCGTCACTAAGGTCCGGTCGAAAGGAAGCTGCCGAGCACACAGCGCCTTCCATAGCCGCAGCAACCCCACCTTGCACCAGGCTGCTGTGGATTTGGGGCTTAGGTTCCTCCTCCCTCCTGACCCCTACTATGGGGATATATAGGAGGATATTGAGGTTATATAGGGATAATGGAAGATAAAATGGAAACTACTATATTATAGTATATTGTGGGTAATACTAATGGAATAATGGGTTAGAAACAGTTGGCAAAGGTCATCAGTTTACGACAGCACCTCCAACAAATCCAACGTAAGCTGACTTTGAGTCGTTGAGTGACTGCTCACATCAGACCAGTCCTAAGACATCAGATGCCTAACAGCATGGCCACAACACACAGACAGAACACAACATGATACTGACCCAGCTGGTGAACCCTAAACCCTAGACCCCTAAACCCCTAATCCCCAAACCCGAAGCCCCTAAACCCTCAAACCCGTAACCCCTAAACCCTTAAACCCCC